TGGGGAATTCTGGGAGTTGAAGTCCACCCATCTTAAAGTTGCCAAGGTTGAGAAACACTAGCATAGAAGGTCAATAACAATACCTTATATTGTGTCCGGAAATTATCTGGCCACAACTACAGATCTTTTAGTACAGGGATCCTCTGATCCCTGTTCTTTGCACTGGTGCAACTTCTGGACAATTTTCAAGGTGCCCCATGAAGAGGAGTTTACACACTGCTTCACTAAGCGTGAAAGATGAAGTTTCTCCCTTAAGGATCTTTCAATCTAAAATTATTACTCATGGAAAAGCACAGATGAGGACAGGAGTGAAAAAAATGGCAAAGAGAAACAATGCACTATTTTTCTAGCAACAGGGCCAAAGTACCGAATCAAAGAGATCAACAACTACGTTTAGCAAATTCCAAACGCCCCAAACATCGAGACAGCAAATGCATGCATGAGGATTGGTCAAACTTTTTTAAAAATTGTTTTAATATAAGAAATGAAGAAAGAAAGGATGCTGAAAAAAAAAAGACAAAGAACATAATAATCAGAGAGTACTGTAATTGGAGTGGCATAAAAAGTCCAAGGGAAAATGTGTGTGTTGTGTGTGTATAAAATACATACAGAGCACACATCAATTTTTTTTTAATTCTGCATTAAACTTTGGCCACATGGACTACTATTGATCAGTCTTTCTATTATGTAGATAGAGAGCCAATTCAAAAGCAGGGTGCCAATACATATTATCAGTCAAGGAGCATAAATATATAGTGGTGTCTGTCTTTCCATATAAAAGGATAATAACCTTTTTTGCCGTGCCTCATGTTCAGAAAATCCATTATTTTTCATAATGGATAAAATGATAGATTTGAAATTTTAGTATGTAATTCAGAATCATATTACTCTGCCCAGAACTTTATGAGCACAATTATAGTAGGTCAACCCCCTATCATAAGAGTTTCCAGAATAATGATGTTGAGAGCCAATTCTTTTTAAACATTATCTGAAATATCCAATAAACATGGAAATATTGTTACGTTAATGTCAACTTAGAATCATATGATTCTTTAAGAACCTTAAATATTGACTTATTAATATGAGTTATTCCATATTCTTTATTTCAACGTTCTTGCAAATTACTAATATCTACCTTAACAATTCTCTTTAACTTACATTAAAAATAATGTAGATTTGGAATCATCCAGAATGCAGGACGTCTTTTAGTGCTGATAGAACTCAGAAGCTGTACATGTTGCTAATACATCAAACCAAATTTTGCCATCAGAAGATGTTTTAATTGAATGCACTGCCATTCTGCTGTTCCAGATAAAGCAAACTCCTCTTGTAATAACACAAATGATTTAAAAATGGAATTGTATCCATTCCCTGTTGGCTCGTGAATTTTTAAAAAAACCTGCAATTTTTCACAGTAGGTTTTCCCAAAGTGTAAATTGATTATGTAAATAAGGTCAAAATTATCCTTTCATCCCAAGATCATCCAAACAGAACTTGCAGCCCTTAATGCTGGAAAAACAGTAGAATCCTGACCCAAAAAATCACCAAATCCCTGCAGAGATGTCAGATATCAGCTTTCAAATCTAAGTTAGCAGACATAAAACCTTCATATAGTTTCAGTGTAGGTTGATCTGCATATGTAGTCAAAATTGTATTTGTATTTTCCATGTTTTTAGGCTTTTCGATAAAGCACAGTAAATAATACGACAATGATTATAGCTTTAACATTTAAAGTCTTTATAAACTTGGTGGTTGTTCAAGTTTGCGGAGTGTCTATTTTCACAAAAGCTTTTTTCTGAATCACATTTCTCATAATCACATTTTTTTAATTTAATTTTTTTTTAATCGCATTAATCAGTGACGTATTTGAGTGGCATCCTGACAAAAGAGGATACTATGAAGGTTTTAAGACAACATGTATCCACCAAATTAAACTCTACCTACAGACTGTAACATTTCCATATACAAGAATTAAATTTAGCTGGAATGTTATGATTTAACGAAGAAACTAAACCTTGATTAAAATCACAGACATAATTATCTAATCTGGGCTAAACTAATATTCAAAACTTCTGTGTTAAACTTCCTAATGTTACTTAGTAAGGCCGTGATAATTAATTAATGATGAATGGTTACAAAAACGTTTACTTACAACACAAAAAATATCCTTCTGGATTATTTATTTCTTGTTCTACTACAAATTTTGAAGACTTGTTAAACAACCCAAGCAGATTTTGAATTCCCACTTATGTATTTGACCAACCCATCCACTGGATCAGGGCTTCTAAAAGTGTGCTCCCAGGATCCCTGGGGGTCCTCCAAGACCCTCTCAGGGGCCTGCAAAACCAAAAGTATTTGCTTGCCTACGATGAAGAACAATACAATATTAAAATCCCATCAAACAATCGTGACAAGTGGTAGAGGCAGCAAACATGTCAATTTTAATTTTTAATACAGTAAATAACAATTATAACCCATACAAACAAATGCTCTTTTGGGGTCCTCCATAATTTTTAAAAGTGGAAAGGGGTCCTGAGAGAAAACAGTTTAAGAAACACTGCTGTAGATAAAGTTCTTTCTCTTATGGAAAGATATGAGCTCCTTAAAAAAAAAACTTCAGGTTTTAAATTATCCAGTTGAGTAACTTCCTCCTTGCAGAAGAAAACCACAAACAATAAAAAGCAACATTTAAGATGGAAAATCAAAACGAGTAAAAAAAGTTGAACAACAAAAGAAACATAAAAGCACAAAGCAAAACATCCTTGTCTTTGTACAAAGTATTGCTTTTTCTGTTATTTCTGTTATTCTGTGTATCGTCTACCTACTTTTAAAAGGACAGATGTGTAGCCTATTTCCACACGATGGCAGTACTGATCAATGAACAACGTTGAAGTTGCTTACAAGTTATGCCTTCTTCCCATTTTTTGTCGTTTTGCCCGCATAAATACATGTCACCCTACGTTGCACACTACAGCACTATCTTATTTTCTCATAGGATTGTGTAGAGTTCTCCATCGACTCATTCACAGAATCACAAATTCCATAATGTTATTCTGGTACAAAAGAATACGCAAAGAGGAACCATTGAAAAAGTCCTGTCTCCGAAAGAGTCCTTCCATGGAAATAGGGTACAGATCCCGGGTGAGAACTTTTACTAATAAACAATGGAGCTGCTGTATGCCAACCCCAGAACTTTCTCAGAAAGGCCAAGTTTCAAAATTTCATTTTCAGCCTTTTCAGAAAAGCTGAAGTTCCAGAAAAATACCCAAATATGGATATTTGTAGGATTGATTTTTTCCAATGACGTAAGATTTACAGATCCACTCTAAGCTATATTTTTTTAAAATAGTCCTTTTTCCCAGAATTTAAATTAACTATTCCAACTTAGTTTAATCCATAAAACAATTCATCAGATTGCTAACTCTGAAGACCAAGACCAAGTCCCTTTGGTTAATTAGCAATTTGTTTCTCTTCAGACTTACCCCATTCTTGGCATCGTAACAAGAACTTTGAAAATGTTTTGCTTGTACTAGAGTTTTGCACTGCTGCCTTCCCATTAAGTAATATATAATCACTGCTACAGTATTTTCCTCCTGTGTTTCTCTCCATGTTAATCTATCCTGACATTGTCAAATTATGGAACAAATTCAGAGTGACACTAGGCACACAAGAATAAAAACAAGCCTAAATATGATCCTGGGCATCATATATAAATTCCACTGACACCCAATGGTTGCATATTATTCAAGTCACAATGTTGTTCTACCCAGGACACAGTTTTGCACCCAAAACAGAGGCCTACTACATGGAATTCCAGAGCAGGAGAAGCCCTCCAGGGCTGCTCCTGGAGTAAACAGGTTTCTTAAGTCCTCTGCTGAGCAGGGGTCTGCAGGGGGAGTCGAAAAAGTCAAGATGGCAGCAATAACCAACAATCGAAGACCTACCCTTTAACATGCATCACATTCATCTCTGCATGGAATTGCACAGTGTAAATTGGGGGAGGGGATTTTCTGCTGGAAAGGCAGCACGGCTGTGTTTCATAATCCATGCCATTACTTCTCTCATTTTTAAAAACTAAATACATGAACACCCACTACATCATTTGCAATCTCAAGTCTTCCAGGGAAATTGAAATAATATTACAAGACAATGAAAAGAAAAAAAACAAATATAGAAGAGCAGAAGAGCCAATATTATTATTTCAACTTATAGGAGTTCTTCTCAGGACAAATAAGACAGACAATTAACTTTTTAAAGTTAACTGTAAATATACATACACACACACACACACACACTGTACATATACATATATATATATAACACATGTTGTTAAAACATACAGATGAAGACGAAAATTTGAATAGGTCAAGCACTGGTTCCTTCCTTTGATAAACCTCAGTTTCATTACATTAGTTTAAAAACTGAAATTCTCCGTGTATAGAGATTTTGACTAAAAAATGTGGTTTTCTAAATCTTCTGGAGATACGCAAATTCCTTTTGGCAATTGAAAGTGACATT